GATTGCCATTTACTTAGTTTATCTGTTGTGATATTTCTATAATTGTATTCATTAGTTTATTGAGTTGATATGATTTAGATTGAGCTGCTGTAATTATAGCTTACTTTGTGCCTGTCCAGGATTTCTTACTCTCAACCCTTATTTATGTTTATTACTTTCTGGGTTGGAAGTACTCACAATACTCCCTGCACCTTGTGTGCAAATCCAGGTACACCACAGGGTGAGTGAGGATTTGTTAGCTGAGCAGCAGGATCTGGGAGTATCGAGGTAGCTGCATGGCGTTCACAGCCTTGATCTCTCCTATCTATCTTTATCCTTTTATTCGCATTTTCTTTCCTAGACAGATTTGTGATTAGGTGAATATTCTGTATTAGAGGCTCATGTTCGTGACACCAGATTCTGTGGGATGACTAGTATTTTATTTTGGGGTTTTCGAATATTAGAGATTATTTCAGAGATTCCGCACTTAAATTGGTATTTTGTTAGTGATTATTTATTTGTTCATCGAGGTTAATTGGCTAAGGTTGTGTAAATGGTCGGGCTTGCCTAGCAGTGTGTTGGGCGCCATCACGACCGGGGTTTGGGTCGTGACATTCATGTTGATATCTATGCGGATCATAAGAGCCTCCAGTATATCTTCAAGAAAAAAGAATTGAATTTACGTCAAAGAAAATGGTTGGAGCTACTTAAAGAATATGACGTTGATATTTTATACCATCCGGGGAAGGCGAACGTAGTAGCTGACGCCCTCAGCCGTAAATCTATGGGTAGCCTGTCGTATTTACAGCCAGAAAAGAGGGGAATAGCCCATGAGGTTCATCAGCTAGCTAGTCTTGGAGTTCGGTTACTAGACTCAAGTCATATTGGAATTTCTATTCAGGATACGACAACATCCTCGTTAGTAATTGAAGTAAAGGAACGCCAGTACGAGGATCATGTGTTAGTTCATTATAGGGATACCACCCCTCAAAAGGAGAAGACACCGTTTGAAATTACAGAAGATGGGGTCCTCAGATATCAAGGGCGATTATGTGTGCCTAATGTTGCAGGGCTGCGTCGGCAGGTTATGGGTGAAACTCACTATTCTCATTATTCTATCCATCCAGGAGCAACAAAGGTGTATCATGATATCAAGAAAGTATATTGGTGGGACAGAATGAACAAGGATATAGCGGAGTTTGTTGCTCAGGGCCCTAACTATCAGCAGGTTAAGATTGAGCATCAAAAGCCCGATGGATTATTGCTGGCTATGGAGATTCCGACTTGGAAATGGAAAGTAATTAATATGGATTTCATCGTGGGCTTACCTCGTACCCAGAGTAAGTTCGATTTGATATGGGTGATTGTTGATAGGCTTACAAAGTCAGCCCATTTTCGACCCGTTAGGACTACCCATTCCGCAGAGGATTATGCAAGGCTTTATATTAAGGAGATAGTACGACCGCATGGTGTCCCTGTATCTATTATCTCGGATAGAGGAGCTCAATTTACAGCTAACTTCTGGAGGTCCTTCCAGAAAGGATTTGGGACACAAGTAAGTCTTAGTACAGCATTTCATCCCCAGACAGACGGACAGGCTGAGCGTACTATTCAGACACTGGAGGATATGTTACGAGCTTGTGTGATAGACTTCAAAGGTAGCTGGGACAACATAATGCATTTATAGCTACGAAATACATTGTAACTAAATATGAAAATTTTCGTGGCTAAACACTTTAGCCATAATATTTTTTTCTGTAGCATTCATTGCAAAATGTAGCGTAGCTAAAAGTTAGCTACAGACTTTACATGATCTGTGGCTAAGGACTAATACTTATTGCCACAAATTCTTTTTATGTTGTAGCTATGATGGTAAAAAATTCTTACCACAAAAAATATACTTGTAGCAAGTGGTTTTATTCTCTTTCCACAAAATAAAATTTGTAGCTTTCTTCATATTGTAGCCACAAGATTTTGTATTGTAGCAAAAGATATAATTTGTTTGCCACGCAAGCTCAACTTTTGTGGCTAAATTTATAATTTACTCTCGTGGCAATACTTGTGTTTAGCTATGAATTCCATAATTTCGTAGCAATAAACTGAAGAATTTGCCACAATCAACTTTAGCTACAAGAATTCATATATTGCTAACAATCCATTATTTAGCATCAAATATATAAATTTTTAGCAAAATATTTTCTATTATTTTTAATAAATTATATACATTAGTTAGAATACATGATTAAAAGTTCAAAAATATCATTCAAGATAAATTAAAATATTGATATACTCAAAACGTAACGGTATTCTTTTACAAGAGAAAGAATAATTTCATACAGATCCACAATACATAACTATTTTACAACACGAATAATAAAGTTTTAGAAAAAAAGCTAGCTAATGTGAGACTAGATAGTGATGGTAACCATTAGCGGACAGTGAAGAGAAGTGAAAACCCAGCAGTGCTCCAATGCTTTTCTAATACCAGGTTCCGATGGCGAGTTGAGAGACATTAGTGGATTGTATTTGTACCAAATGAGTGAAAGAAATTGTTGTTCTTGTGGATATCAAGAAGAAGGGCGCAGTAAATAAGATCTTATAGCACTCCATCGATTATCTCACCCGGTGACACCACGTCCTGATCCGGCAAGACGGCAATGTTACCCTTTTGATCTTGCAGGACTACCATCCTGTATATACAAAAATGACATCCACACCATAAGGTTAGTACATTAAGTAGTTGGGACTTGTCAATCACGTTTGAACTGAACAACATTTCCTTTGGCAGAGTAAGATTCTGCTAGAAACAACAATTCGCTTCTTTAAAACCTTAAGACTATTAATGCAATGTATATACCAAAAGACTGCAATCCGTTCAAAACATAAGCCTTATTTAGATGTTCTTTGTTTGAAGTGCAACACTATAAGAAAATACTACCAATATCATAAGTTGCATTTCTTCTTTGTATCTGATAACTAGACGTTTCCAAATCTGGAGTCTTGTAAATCTTTTAAGTTTGTAACTGCCAAAAAATTATACTCTTATATTCGCTCAAGGAAAAAGCACAATCTAAACCAGTTCAACATCACACTTGTTTCATAACAACTAATAGTCCTAGAGTACTCTAAATAAAATTTCATAAGTCATACAAATTTTAACAAGAATTTTATAAATACTCCATCTTCACTATGTAGTATATCCAATTGAATTTGTTTTGAGAAAGAGTGAAGTATTATACATACCTCATGGTTATTACACTTGTTTGTTTCTACATTGATGCCCATAACACAAGTGCCTAAAAAGACAAAAAAAAATCTTGATAATTCTTTTACAAGAATTTTTAACAGATAACAAAAGAGAAAAGTACAAAGCAACAAAAGAATTAAAAAACCCTGTAGACTTTTTAAACTTCTTAAAGGATCGTCATCCCAATTTTGTAACGTTGCTTTGCTGTTACAGTCCATGAACTATGGCTCCTCCCGAAATTACCACTTCAAAATCTTCAAATTTTCACTCACTATATATAAAAAATAGGGCAGAATATTAAATTGCTGAATAAGTCGCAAAATTAAAACCAAAAATTCATGTCAAATAAGTATGAGAAAATTAGCAAACCGTAAAATATAGAGATACGGGCTTACCTCTTCTGCTCAAGAATAGAAAAGTTATGGGGTTCTCTTTCACTCTTCTTCTTTGTCGTTCTCGCATTTTTTGGTCTAGCTATGGTTGAAGAAAGAATTGGGAAAGTGGGGAAGGGGATGTGGGGGTGGGATTGGCGGCTGATGAGATCATTGTAGTTTAGGTTTTGGTGCTTTTGCTCTGGACCAATTACAATTGTTGTTTGTCATTCCTTTAGGGGTCGTTTGGTTGGAATATGATTTATACCGGTATAAGTTATGCGGATATAAGTTATATTGGGATAAGTTATGCTGGGATTAGTTATGCTGGGATTGTTGTTTATTCATTGTTTGGTATGTTGTATTAAGAATGACAATTGCATAATTTCTAAGAAGAAGGTATAAGTTATACCGGTATTAATTACCCCATCTTTTATAAGGTATAAATTATCCCAGTGTTAAAATTAACATCGGGATAACTTATACCTGGTTTACTAACCAAACAAAGTATTAAGGCGATATAAATTTTATACTCCTTAAAAAA